GCTCAACCTCCAGGCACCCTGCAACTTGCATTCTATCCCTCCTTCAGTATTCCTGCTAAAACATATATTGGATTTATTATAGTTTACCACCTGCCCAGATAACTTCTCATACCTTATCAAACATTGCTTGATGACACTTGCTTCCTGAGTATTTGCTTTGAAAAAAAAAAAAGCAGACTATCATCTGCAAAAAACAAATGTGATACTGGAGGTGCCCCCTGGCCACTCTACACCCATGTATTGATCCTGTGACCTGTTCCTTTTGCAACAACATCGAAAGCGCCTCAGCACAGATAATGAATAAATAAGGGGAGAGAGGATCCCCCTGTCTTAGTCCACGAGTCGGTTTGACCCGTCCCCCTACTTCACCATTAACCATCACAGTTAGTTCACCGTTGTCACACATAGCATAATAAGCCGGATCCACCTCTCACTAAAACCCAAAACAACCAACATTCTCTCCAGGAACGTCCACTCCATTCTGTCATAAGCTTTTGACATGTCTAATTTCAATGCACTCCATCCCACAGCACCACACTGTTTCCTGTTTAAGTAATGTCCCACCTCCGCCGCCACCAAGATGTTATCTGTTATTAGCCTGCCAGGAATAAAAGCACTTTGGGACTCTGAGATGAGATCACCCATAAGTGTTTTCATTCTATTGTCCAACATCTTAGCCATAATTCTATATATGACATTACTTAGAGCAATCGGTCTTAAATTCGCAACTGTTTCGGGCACTTCTTTTTTGGGAATCAAAATTATGTTGGTATCATTTAATCCCTCCGGGAACTCACCTGAGTTTAACGCATGCGTTATAAACCGAGTCACATCATCCCCAACTATTGACCAAAAATGCTGATAAAAGCCCAGATTCATTCCATCCGGGCCCGGTGCTTTATCCGGGAACATTGAAAAAAGAGCTGTTTTTACCTCGTCCTCATTGAAAGGGCGATCCAACATCACATTTTGCTCATCAGACACACGGGGGGGGAAAATCATCAAAAAGGGGATCATCACAACATAAATTATTAGAAGCAAAAATACCCGTAAAATAGCTTAAAATCGCCGCATGCATACCACCGCCCTCAACCCAATCACCAGCATCATTCTTTGTACTAGCAATATAGTTCTTTTTTCTACGCGCAGAGGCATACCTGTGATAGAACTTAGTGTTGGCGTCCGCACCACGGAGCCAGTGTTGCTTTGCCCGTTGTCTCGAAAACACATCCTCTTGGGCCTCCAACTATTTAAGCTGATTCTCAACCAGCTGGTACTCGGCAAGGGCTGCCGGGTCTCGTGTGTTACGAAAATTCTCCTGCTTCCTCCGCAACTGTCCAATTCGATCACCAAATTTATGAAATTGGTCCCCTCCCCACCGCATTAACTTCATACCACAATTTTACAGTACTGTTACTTTACCTTATTATACTTCGTGTACAAAATGTGTGCTGAGATACCCACTAATTCAGAACACTCCCTATCCCATAAAAGGAAGGGAGCATCTCGTAGACCTTTATCTAGAACAATAACTTTGACCCGATACCTTGCCATGCCCTCTTGATACTTCTTATCACAGTGTGTACAAATCAGATCACCTGATTGTCCACAAAGCTTTCCGTTACATCCTGGTGACATGCAAGAGATGTACATCTATCCAAAAGATCCTTCAATGGCCACAATTTCAGCAGGTACATAGAAGTCCCCATTCTGCCATAGAAAATGTAACTTGGTTACTCTGTCTTATTAAATGTATAATGAGTTTTGTGGACTGTATTAAGGCTTTATAAAAGTTTAGAGTCTAACCTGCTTCTTTTTCAACAAATCAGCTACTGGAGTTACAGTCAAAGCACCACTGGTGAAGTCATCAATTCCTGTTGATTGAGACAGCACAGTTGCAGTGCTGATACTGCATAAAGGGCTGTTTGATGCAGTTAACCTACAAGTAACATTTATGAATAAGTTGTATAAATTACAGATACAGTAGTTTAGAAAATGTAGACAGTAGATAACAAATATATTTCAGGCACTTACTGAGACTTAAAATCAGCAAATTCCTGAAAAGATGCATTCAAATGAAGTTGGGTAGCATCATAACAGCTAGTAATTCTGATCACCTATTAGCATCATAGATGTTAATGAACAATGGAAAACCTAGAAAAAAATTAAAAGAATAATCTATCATTATAACTTACCATTGACCACTTTTGCCCGACAAAGCTGATGAACCAAAATTAGTGGTTCTTTAAGACCAGAATCATAGTATGGTAGCATGGAACCAACATGACTGTCCCACACAGTGCACTGTAAGGTATTTCCCCTATAGGCAAGTGTGTTAGAAAGAATATAATGATTACAAATATAGGAACATAGTTGTTAGTATGAAACTTACTCATTGTCAGCCATTTTAAAGTCTAGAAGTTTGGCTGGTCTGCCTCCTATTATTTTGTCAACAGGAGCATGGATCTCGACAACTCTGCCTATTAAATCTGTATCAACACAAAATAATTGAATAGTAGACCAAATACAAAAATAGATAAATGAAAAATAGCAAAAACATGAACTAAATACTTACCAAACAACACCTTGTCATTGATTTGAGTAGGGTCTTTCAAAGAGTCATAGGTTTTTAGCTGAAACATCTTATTAGGAAAACCTTTCGATTTGATTGCCTTTACCTGAGTCTTATAGTTTAGCCTAATCATATATTGGTGATCACAAGTTTTGTAAGTATAATAGTGGGTGAACACCAAAAAGTTTTTTACTGAATAGAGCTTCCCTTCTATGAAAACATTTTTGTATTTTTTGACATCACTGTTTTGCATGTTCAAATGTATGAAAGTTCCCTGCACATAGGATTAGTGAAATAAACAAAACATGTGTAGAGCATAAATCTGTGTAAAGCCTAAAGCTTAAACAGTAAACTAAAATATTAAACATGTAACGAAAATACCTCTTTATCGCAGACCAACACTTCTCGAATCTTGATCTCTGTAGACCCTCTGTTTTCAGCTATTTCGTAGCATCTAACACACTTGACTCTTATTGCTTTCTCCCTATCGAGCGGGCCAATGTCTTTTACAGCAACATACATTGGCATGGTTTAGTTGCTGATATTTTGGTTCTCTTTTTTCTAAATGGCAGGTGATACGAACTGCAGATATCCTGAAGTTGGGAGGGGATTTCTCCATCGACACAGGCTTATATAGAATGTAAAACTATGGATTTCAAAATCTGGGAAGTATGAATGGTGCTATCGACCTTTCAGTTTTCAAGAGCATGTTCAGAAGACATTTAAATCAGTTTGAGAAATATGTTTTCGAAGCAGTGTTTATAATGAACACTGTGTTTAGAAGTCTGTAATAATTAGAAGTCTATTTAATTTGATTTATTTTACTTGGTATTGCCAAAAAGTAGCCGGCACAATTAAATTCCACGCGTTAAGCTTTGTTTAGCACCATTTATTTAAGATCTTTTTTTGTGGACATATAACGACGTCGTTTTAATTGGGCGGGAGTTTGGTTTAGGCAGAAACTTAGTGTTTTATTATAATGATAGATATATAAATATAAAGATTATATATAAAAATAAAGATATAATAAAGATAAAGATTCTTTAGTAATTATTATTTTCGTCCTTAATTATTTTGTAATTATCATTTCGTGCATAATTATTGCACAATATGTTTTATTAGGATTTTTTTCACTTGATAACATCTTAATTTGTCGCAGCTCTCTACATTTACACAATATATTTGTTTGGCTTATTGCCCTAATAAACTAATACAATAAGTCATTTTATCACACATAACTAGTCAAATCAATCAAACTTGGTCAAACCAACCAAATTTGACTTATCAGCTATGTTACCAAAAACCAAATAGGCCATAATAAGTTTTAAACAACTACTCTTTTTCACATTTTACCTATCATATTTATCTTGTTTCCATTTACTTTTTAATTACTATTGGTAGTAAATTTTAATTTGAAAATGAAAATGAGTAGGAAACGGAGGAATGAGATCATCCACGCGACATAGAAATTAGAAACCTTCTAGTTTTTAATTGTTCACCCCATTTTACTTTTCAAATACTTATTAAAAAAAAAAAAAAAAAAAAAAAGAAAAGAGTCATGTTATTAATAGTTGTAGTTTGATTTATAGAAAAGTTCACAATTATATAGCGATTAAAATTAAAAATATAATTGAAAATGATATTAATTAAATTGTGCTTAATGTTGATTTAACTTCGTCTCCCACTAAAGTTTCAATATGTAATCACCCATTTAAGAGAGCCAAAATCTTTAGCATTAGTTATTTGTTTTAATCACGGTTAAATTCATGTCGCTAAATAATGATTTTCTTGAATGCATTTTGCCGCGAGTCTTTAACCAAATATCAACTTTAATCAATTTATTTTTATCTTCCTTAACTCTGGCTAACTAGTCATGAAACTCAAGTTAGAAATAGAAGTAATCATACAAATCAAAATTAAATTTGATTGAGATTGGACCAACTCAAATTAAAATGGCAATACAAAGTATTAGTTCGTTTTAATTTTTGATTTTTAATTTTTACAAAATTGGACTTTTGAATTTCCATTTCACCCCAAATATAAACAGCATTAAGAAGTTGGGTTTTTGAAAAGGCAAGAATTCTTGAAATACAAATTAAGGAGCATTGTCAAAAGGCAAGATGATAGGCTATATCAACAATTGTTATCCAAGCCTCTAAGAACAAGTGTTCATATTGCAATGTGAATTATCTAAAAATTATACTCTGTATATTTATAGTTAACACATTATAAACTTGCGGTTAACAATTTCTGTACCTATAAAAAAAATTGAAATTTTTGTACCTACATATAAATTGTTAAGGACAGGTATAAAATATGTTAAGGCACATAACATGTTAGGTTAGCTGCACGTACAGAATTTAAAAATTATAAAGTTATTTTTGGACCATGGTTCACAATGCAAAATAAACTCTGATCCATAGTATAATTTTCCCTTATATCAATTCATCAACTAGCCTCTTTGGTAGATTGTAGTTGCAATTCAAGAAATGAAATTACAACATTATCTTACAATGCAATATCGGTTTTTAACTACTTTCTCAATCTACTTTGTGCGAGACTCGAACTCATGACCTCCCATATAGGAGAGTCACTTCGTGCCACTTGACCACAAGGTCATTGACAAATATCATTTAAGATATCATACATTAGTTAATTGGGTGTTTCTCTTTACACTTTTCTTCATCATCTCAGCCCATCTTGCAAAGAGATTCGAGACCTCAAATTTTCCAGATAATTTCATCATCCGAGACAAGTCCTCTAATGTATCAGGGCTTCCAGCTCTGCTCAAATCAGCAGCAAATTTATTGTAGTCAAGTTGAGGAGCTCTCATTCCTTTCTCCATCATTTCCTCCAAGTATTTACAAGCCTCAACTGATCTCCCCTGCCTTATAAGCCCTCCAATGAAAACAGTATAACAATTCTCATCAGGACAACATCCCTTGGAGTTCATCTCCTCCCAAACCGCACAGCCAAGTTCATAATTCCTTGCCATGAAGAATGACTTCATCATCATATTATATGTGTGAATAGTTGGTTGAATCCCATTTTTGATCATCTTCTTGTACATTCTAACGGCATCATCAGGCATTCGTCGGTTAGTCATCAATTTGATCACGGCATTGTATAATTGTGCATCGGGAGGACACCCTTTCTCCCGCATCTCCTTCAGCAACCCGTGGACTTGGTCCATCTTCTTTACATTGCCAAACCCCGTTATCAAACAGGTATACACTGCAACGTCGGGCTCACATCCAGTGCCAAGCATTTCCTCAAAGTAGTCAATAGCTTCGTCCATCTTCCTTTGTTTGCACAAGTATCGGATCAAAATTGTATAGCTTCTTGCATTCGGAGATGGACCCTTTGCTTTCATGACCTCAAAGAGTTTGATTGCATCAGAGGCTTTATGACCCCTCAATAACCCTTCGAGCATTATATTATGCGCAACAAGACCAGGCTTAAAGCCCTTGTCAACCATCTCGTTCCACACCTTCCCGGCCTCCATCAAGTTCTTCACCTTACACCAACCATTGATCAAGACAGTATAAGTCTGCAAATTTGGCGTAAACCTATTCTCCAATTTCTCAAACAAAACCTGTGCTTCTTTCCCGAGCTTTGCCCTCCCCAACGCATCAAGCAAACAATTGATAGTCTGAACTCCAGCTTCGAACTTGTGCTTTTTCATCAATTCAAAAATCCCGACAGCTTTCTTCCTCTCTTTTGCAGCAGCAAACGCCTTCATTGCAACTACAAATGTCTCTATCGTAAGTAAGCCCTTCTCGCCCATTTCTTCAAGAACCGACACCATAGTCTCAAACTGCCTAGTCTTTCCAAGTATGGCCATCATTGCATTATAAGTTTTTGAATCGTGATCATATCCCGGCCTCTGAGCAGCCCAACAAAAGAACCTAAATGCAGACTTTCTAGCATGCTTGAATCTCTCCAAAACATCTATCACCAAATCATGGGTCAAATTCATCCCACATTCATCCAGAACAGCCTCCATATTTCTGTCCAGAGAGAACAACTCATCAATCACTTTACACACCCTATCCACCTCCCTCGGATCCGCTTTCGATTCAATGTATCCACTCTCACAATTCTCTAACTCAGATCCAGAATCTACACCACTACAGAATTCCCTGTACTTCAAGTCCAGAAATTTTCTTTTTGAATAAAAATCGGTGTAATTATACAAGTTTGAGGTATTTTCACTTACAAATGGAACTTTGAAACGATTATAATGGAGACAACTATGATTACCGGAATGAAGCAGACGAGTAAGAATCTGCAATTGTGGTTCGACGGCTTCGCCGGAGAAGAAGCGGAGAAGTTTATCATTGCCGTTGTTCGGCGAAATAGAGAGCTGTAAAGCTTTAAGCTTTAGCGGCCTTTGAAGGTTTCTTAGATAGATTGCCATTTGGACTACATTAAATCCGGAGATAAAACGTAGAAAAGCTTTAAAGTTTATCGCTTTCTTATTGAGGGGTTCCCGATTGGCACGAAGAAGGTCTCAAAATCCGATTGTGACTTGAAGTTCGCGAAGCAACAGATTATCCTTCGAACGAGCTATACTTGAAAATCAAAATGAGAATAAGGTGTTCGATGCTCTTTCCGGAAGGAGGAACGGCAGTAATGGACTTGAATCAAATTTTCTCTCCCTCTCTCCTCTCTTCCTTACGGCACTGGAGGTGGCGCCGTGGAGGACTGGACATGGCGGATAGGGCGCCTGCCGGGGCTGCCGGAGTCTTGGACCGGGTTATATTATTGGGCTCTGGGCGAAGCTATCAATTTGGGTCACTGGAACGGCCCATTCCTCTTATAAATCAAGCAATCGTTATGCTGTGAGCACGTGCTCATCTTGTACGGTGCGCACAAATCTATATCTATAATTTTTATACTGTATATCTATAATTTTTATATTGTATATCTATAATTTTTAGACTCTCGATGAGCTAAAATTTATACTTTAGATTCATAATTTCTAACCACAAATCTATATCTATAATTTCTATAATGTATATCCATAATTTCGAGACTCGCGGTGAGCTAAACATTATACTTTAGATTCATAATTTTAGCTCACCGAGAGTCTAGAAAATTATGGATCTACAGTATAGAAATTATGGATATAGATTCATGTGCACCATGTGCATGGTGAGCACATGCTCACAGCACAATTTGCCTAAATCAAGATGTCGGATAATTATTCTATCAATCGTTATATCGTGCACCAGGGCGCACATTGCATTGTGCGCTCTGGCACAAAATGACGTCGTTTTTATAAGTTGGTGGGGAGTTGACGCGATGGACACCGTTCCATCTGTTATAGTTTTTTTTTTTTTTCTTTTTTTCTTTTTTTTTTAACACTTATGTTTATGTGATTATGTTAAGAGTTTATGTGTATTATATTAAGAGTTTATCGACAAATTATATCGTGCACTGCGGTGCATAATCGATTATGCACCGCGCATCAAAACGACGTCATTTTATTTAATGAAAAGAAACGAAATCCGTTTCGCGCCGTTCCGAAAAAAATAACTCTGTTTTTTAGTTTCATTTTGTATACACTAAAATTTTAGTTCAACACAACTACAGTTTCATTTCGATATAACTACAGTTTCATTCAATATTTATACACTCAAATATGTGAAAATGTTATTTAATTTGATTTTATATACACTATAGTTTCATTAAAATACAACTACATGATCATTTCGATATAATTGCAGTTTCATTGTACAATATACATTCAAATATGTGAAATGTTATTCAGTTTCATTTTATATATACTGCAGTTTCATTTCACCACAACTACAGTATCATTTTGATATAACTGCAATTTTATTTGATAGTATAAAAATAATACGTAAGGCTGTGTCAATTTAGATACATTGTAGTGTCACTCCGTTAACACTAACAACGTGCTGTTTCTTTACTTAAAAAAAAAAAAAAAAAAAAGAAAAAAAAAAGGCACCGTTTTGATGCGCGGTGCATAATCCTCCACGATATAACTGAAGTTTATCATACCCTCTGGGTGATCAAGATTCAAAGCCCAAGAGTTTATTTGGGCCAAACGATTTTCAAACTAAGCTGTGATGAAAAAAAAGGGAAAAGCCCAATCGAGCAATAATTTATTTTATAATATATGGAGAAATAATTATGATAAGTTTACCAGGACTATGTGGTCTAATGGTACCCGGGTTGGACTTCCATTTGGAAGATTATGAGTTCGAGCCTCAGTGGAGGCGTTATTGGTTCTTTGTGTTTCAGCAGGTTGAGAAAGTATATGAACAGATACTACAATGTAATAGGACCAGTAACTTTCAAAAAAAAAAAATTATGATAAGTTTTTTTTTTTTTTTTTTGAAAATAATTATGATAAGTTTTTATTTTCATTATTCTTTTTAGATCATTAGAAGGGGGACACCCAATTGCATCTAGACTTATGGATCAAGTTGGCGCCAAACTGGGATGCCAAACTTGTCTTCCTCTAAAATTCTTCAGATTTTCTCGTTTGGGTGGTCAAATATAGTGGTTTTGCGAGGCTCACTAGGTGATCGGGGTAGAAATATAGGGCGAGCCAAGCTGAGCCGAGCTGAGTTTTAGAAAATTAGGCCTGAGCCTGTTACCAAAATTAAAAGCCTAGGCATGTGCCTGAGCCTGTATGTAGCTAGGCTTTTTGTTAGGCTCAAGACTGAGCCTACAATTGGTCTAGCATAGGTGCAGAGGTACGATGCCGAGGTTGCAGCTGCCTTTACCAAACACAGGAACCCGGCGAGAACTAATACGCATTGCATTGAGGCCTTGGACCTTGGTAGTGTGGGAAAAACCGCCAATTGGTTGGTTTGCTGTAAGGAAAGTGGAGATGCAGGTTGTGGTGGCATTCTTAGGGATACTAATGGCGAATGGCGTGGAGGATATACTTACAATATCGGGAGGTGTAAAATCGAGGAAGCAGAGGCCTGGACGGTTTTGCAGGGCATCAGGCTCGCAAAGGATGTTGGTGTTAGGAAGCTAGTGATTGAAGGGGACTCGATGACTATCATCAAGAGGACATGGGAATGGATGAGTTTGAGCCTCGTAACAACATTCTTCGCCAATACAAGCGTGAGATTACGGCTTTTGACGAAGTGGCTTTCAACGATGCGTATCGAGAACAAAATAGAGTGACTGACAAGTTGGCCACTAGGTCCCTGACTCATCAGATCGGGACTCGATACTTTGTGGACTCGCCTCAAGACCTTTGGGACATCATTTACCAGGACCAAATCGGTGCAAAGTTCCCACGACGAATCCCTTGTGATAGGGGGAATGGTCATTGTCCGTGTTTCTTGGGTAACCCCCTCCTTTTTTATAAAAAAAAAAATCTTTATTTTCTACAATTCAAATATTCTTTACCTTCAAATTTATTAATTTATTATATTCACTACATTGTCAATTGTCTTCTTTTTACATTATCTGGTAATTAAATATAAAAGTTATAATACAAAATATATTATATATATTTATTTACCAAGTATTTTATACAAATATAATAAATATACATGACACACTACCAATTAAAAAAAAAAACAAGAAAAAAGATGACATGTAGTGAAGATGAAGGCAATGACAATACTACCCAAAAGAGAATTAAGAAGAATTAGAGAATTTTAATGCAAAAGTAGTATTTATTTAGACTATCATTTTTATACTAGCGTTATTACAAAGTTGCAAACATTTATTTATTGACAATATAATCAATCTCTCATATATTATCTTGCATTTATATACTTTAAATTACCGATTTAAATAAACAAATTCAAAAATTTATTTACTTATGCATGAACATCTCCCGTATAATATTGTATTGATATACTTTGAAATACTAATTTAAAATTAATCATTGAGCATTATTTCATTCGCGCAAAGCGCGTAAACAACTAGTAATTATATATAGTTGAAAAATAAATTACTTCGTTTTGTACAACTAAAGTGGTTAGGCTCGACTTCACTGGGGATCAAACCCAGAGTCTCTGGTTTCGTAGACCAGCACCTTATCCATTGAGCCATGAAGTCCTTAGCTATTATGTAGTTTTAATTGCAATTAATTATAATATTGGAAATGATTTGTATTAACTCGTTGAAAAAGAAGTCTGCACAAGACACTCTTACAATCCATGGGAGAAGCCGGATGTGGTTGGGTTCACTATCTTAGTTAAGGAAACTATAGGCGAGGGTTAATACTGGGGAATAGCCGATAGCACTGATTGGACTATAACTCGTCTACCTGCAAACGACAGGGTCTTCATTTTCCATCCCGCTAGTCTACTTTAGATTCTTGTTATTAAACCCTCAAAATAATCCTTTTTAAGTCTGCCATGGAAGTAGGGCACTCCCAAATACTTCCCAAGTCCTCTGTAACAAAAATGTTTAACAGGTTGGAGATGCTCACCTGCATGTCTATATAGGTGTTCTTTGAGAAATGAATAGATGATTTTTAGAAGTTGACACGCTGCCCGGATTGGTTGCAAAAGGAGTCTAAACACTACTTGATAACAGTTGCTTCCCCAAACAAAATCATGTCATCCGCAAAGAATAAGTGCATTAAACATGGACTGTCTCGGGTAACCCTTATGCATTTCTATCTATCAGCCGTTCTATGCATAGGACGAAAATAAGGGGGGATATTGGATCTCCTTGGCGGATGCCTTGGCTGGGTTTAAACCACTCTGATGTTCTACCATTTAAGGATACAGCTAGCCTAGGTGACAAAATGCATGCCATGATAATTCTGATCCATGCCTGATTGAAGCCGATATCTTGCAATGTTGATTGGATGAAACTCTAAGACAACCTATTGTAGCCCGTAGGCCTTTTCAAGGTCAATTTTCAGCATCCAAGAGGCTGCACCTTTCTTCATTCTCATAGATTTGATCACCTCTTGATATATTAATATGTTGTCTATGGACTGCCTTCCGGGAACAAAGTTGGATTGTTGATGCCCAACTAACTGTGTCATTATTGTCTTCAATCTAGATGTCAATGTTTTGGATATAACCTTGTAGGAGATGTTGCAGAGCCCGATAAGGCGCAGTTGCCTAACAGACTCTGATTGATTACCTTTGGAATGAGGGTTAACAAAGTATCATTGCATCTTTCGGGTAGGCTGCCAGACTCGAGAGCTTTCAACACAAAATTAGTTAGACTTTCTCCAACTACTGACTATGCTTGTTGAAAGAACCCTGCGTGGTAGCCATCTAGTCCGAGAGCTTTGAAAGGCGGCATGTCGAACAATGCTTGTTTAATCTCTTCTCGAATGAAAGGTTCATTCAACCGTTGCCATGTTGATTCATGCAGCATGGGGAATTTACCACGTAAGGTTTCCTGACCACTTATTCTGTCTTTTTATGTAAACAACTGTATGAAGACTGAAGTAATTACACAC